ACACATTTGTCTTTGAATTAGAACATTCAGTAACACGGTATTATTCTTTCATAATTATATTGCTATTGTTTTCATATCCTTTCTGCTTTGTCATAGAGCTGTGGTTTGGTGCTACTGTTTAGTCACAGTAACAGAGTAGTTGAGTGTTCAACATTTTTCTTCCTCTTTACAAAATTAAAGAGTAGTAGACTCTATCTTTGGGAGCAGCTAAGTTGGAAAGTAAAATGTATATCTCTTACAAACCATTAGCAATGTTATTCTACACAGTCTTGGCATGAAACGACATTTATTATCATTGTGTATTACATTTTCTCCTCATTAGACAGGATGAAGTTTATGTATTCATTTATATAAATTACATATATAGAGAAGTTTTATTTATAGAAGAGATGGGATTCATATTGAGGTCTAAGTTTAACTTATGGTTTTACCATTTGCTGTGTGACTATGACTTTAACCTCCTTGAAGTTCATTTGTTTGTTTTATAGTGGTAATAATAATATTAACTTCACATTGTTGATCTGAAGACTAGGGTGCGTAGTACCTACTACTCAGGAAGATTAGCAGCATTAATCTTGGGTGTAGACACCTCGTAGTATGTTTGCTAGGTCAACAAACAGGGAGGGTGGAACATCAATGGATCAGTGAGGGTACAGAGCACACTAACATGCTGTGCTAAGTAGATACCCATACTGGTGACAAAATACATAAGAGAAGCAATATAAAAGGACAAGAGCATTATTTGGGCCCACTTGGCTCTTGAGTTTGGGTCAATGTTTGTACAGTATATCATAGTGAGAACTTACAGCAGAGAAGGTCTATTTGCATCACGGCTGAAGGGAAGGAAATGAGACACAAAGGAAGGAACCTCATGCTTATATCCCTTCAAGGGTTCATTTCCAAAGACCTAATTTCCTTTTATTAGCAACCTCCATATCCCTAAAGGTATCACCACTTCACAATCATGCCACAGGCTGGGTACCTACGGTAGCACACAAAATATTTTAAAACCATTTTTCTGTGGCTGCACGCTATGTAAATCAGTTTCATAACTCTACATTTCCTCTCACATGATTACCTTGATTCTCTTACATTTCTATTATAATATGTAAGTTACCTTAGTTTTTTAAAAAAAAATTATTTATTTGCAATACTAGATATTGAATCTGGGAAAACACTGTACCACTGAGCTATAGCCTCAACCTTCTGTTTGTTTATGTTTTTTGAGACAGATAAAAAAATTGAAGTGGCTGGCCTTAAACTTGGAATTCTCCTGTCTCAGCCTCCTGAGTGGTATGCTCCTCAGCCAAGGGTGCTAAGTTGTTTTCCATATTGAAATTGTTATTTGGTTGCTCACCAGAATAAAGAATCCAGCATGATACATAAACTGTGAAATCTTTGTTTTAGCTTGTTCCTCTGTTCTTTATTAGCTTATTATGAAGTATGAGGTGAGGTGGGAGTCAATGTATCATTGTATTACATATGTATTTGCCTTCTATATACACATTTAAATATCATTTTTCTATGCTGTAACATTTCCTTACCTCTTTTTATTGTATCTAATAGATATAATTGCAAAGGGCTTTATGAATTGCTACATGTATGCTAAAGAATAACAATGATTTTCAAAGAGTACAGAATATAATTAATTTTTATAGATACAGTATGTACCTGCCAAATGGGTACTTTGAAAATGAAATTGCTTTAGACTGTGTGAAACTGCTTGAAATGTGATTCTCCAGAGCTTTCTTTTCCTTATGGCCAAAAAACAGGGATATGGAAATTAATTATGACTATGCATTCAAGACTGGCTTTTCTCTTTTTAAAAAATCACAGTCTAAAAGCAAAGTTTCTTGGGGCCAAGAACAATCTTAACACACTTGAATGCCCTGGATTTTAGCTGAAAAGGGACTCAGAACAGAAGCTTTGAGTAAGTTGCCACCTGCCTGGAAAGGTAGCATAGTTTACGGTGCCCTTCTACTTCACCTGCTTGTTCACGGATACAGTTTTCTGTAGCTTTCTTAACTCAGTATTTCAGTATAATGAATTTCTATTACAGGCCCAAACTTGAAATATAGAACCAATTTAGTCTGACAACAAACCCTATGGCATATTTGTTGCAAAGTATACACAATAGTACGTTGTTAGGGGCCTGTCATGTGACAGCTTCCTGGGTTTGCAAAAATCCACACATACTTTTCTGATTCCCACATATAATCTGGTTTGTAATCTTTTTTGGCTCTTGTTCTATCTTCTTTGATTTGGGTAATATGTTTCTGGGAGAGGCTGGTCAAAGAGGGTTTCTAAAAGCAGTTATTTACTTAATTGGTTGTATAGGTGAGGAATCAGGGCAAACCAAATATTATTCTTTTTGTGTGTTTATGTAGTGAGCTTGTTAATTTAATGATTTGCTTGAGATAGGACAGGTTATAGCAGAGGCTTACAGCAGGGCAGATGACTAGAGTGATCTGGCTTCTCCAGCTTGCATGTGGTACTGTCAACTCTGATTCCCAGCAGCACACTGCCAGTTAAGATGACTGTCCACTTTGGGTGGTGGTTCTCAATGTATATCATGCTTCAGTGCTACTTGGAACATTTGTTAAGACCTCTGTTTCTAAACTCCCATGCCTAGACTTCGATTGGAGCCACTGTGGGGTGAGCCTCAGGATTCTGTATTTCTGTGAAGAGTACCTTAATGATGTGGATATTGTTGGTTCAGGGTCCCCACTTACCACAGAGTCAGAGTACTGGGAAGTGTTTGGTTTTCTCTGGTTCAGTGTTAGGGAGTGAGGGAGGGATATTTGACAGGAAGGGAGATGGGAATGCCAAACAATACCAATCATTTTGTCTACTGTCCTGGATTTGTTGGCTTATTAGCTCTTATAATATATAGCATAAAACTGAGCGTTAGGATTAGTTGTTTTTTTACTAGGAAGTTGATAAAGTTTAGGAGGAGCAATGGATTTGAGTGCTAATATCAGCCTTCTTTTTCTCCTGTTCCCTACATCCTCCTTCAGCCTGTCCCTTCCTCACTACCCATAAAGAAAAACAACAGATTAGCCACAGGATGGCTGTCTTTCAGAAAGGAGAATGATGAGACAGAGTATGATTTCTTGGCAAGGTTGTTACATCAATCAAGTTTACTATAATAAAACCCCCTTCTTTTAACTTTTAACTATGCAGAGTTTGCAGCAACAAGGACAGTGATTGAGTTGAAATATACTTTACAGTATTTGTAAAGAATTTCCAAAGCAAACCAGTGCATTTAGACTGTTGCCTAAAAAATTTATTTTTCAAACTATTTCAGTGCTACCACTTGCAAGCAATGAATTAAATAATTAGAAATCCATCTGATGTGTTTATCAACACAGTGTTTAACTTGAGCATGTGATTAGGACTGCTAAGCCTTCATTGCTTAGGAATATATAATTCATATCTTTTTCAAGAGTAACTTTCACCCAGTTAGTCCAAATAACTTCTTTTTTTTTTTAACAAAAACTACAAAATTAAACCAAAAATTCATCATTTTCCATTAGTTTCCCTCTTGGCATTATCTGGGAACATGATGTTTGTATCTGGTGCCTTTTCTATTGAGTGAATACTAGAACTTCAGCATGCAATTCAAATGTTGCCTTCAACAGGCTCTTTTGATTTCGCTTCTGAAACACTTTGTCAGAAGTTACTTTCTTTTAAATAATGCCCTGTGCTCAAATTTTCCTAGAATAAAACATCCTGCTGGGTAAAGAGTTTAAGAGATCTGGGCCATGCTTACTCAATGAAATGCAGTGGAGTGGAAAACAGTGTCTTCCCAGCTCAGGAACATGAGGGCTTTCTTTATCTAGTGGTTCAAGGAGATTATATTATGTAAAGAGCTGTTGTTACATAGACATTAACTTATTAGAAATAGATTTTAGTCTTTCATAAGTTTACGTGTTGGAGTTTCTATCTGAAGAAATCCATATCTGAAGTCTAAAGAATTATTTCAAACCAAAGAGGAGCTGTGCTTGAACTTCGGTGCTTCTTTTCAACCCTTGTCCTCTTGCTGTGAAGACTTGCCTGAGTCAGATCATTGAGGATTAATAATGAATGCATTACTCAATACCCTGCAGGGCCTGGGTCAAATGCCCTGGCTTTGAAAAGTTAGTCTTTTGCTTAGTAAACCTTGAAATTTCAGGTCCACTTGCAAAATGGAAGTTCAGTATTTTGTTGATTAACATGGTCTCTCTGCACACAGCCTGTGACTCTTCTGGGTGTGCTTTCTATTTTTCTAACAGTGTCTGAAATAACTAGATGGATCACCAGCAAAGTTGACCTCTAGCTGCTGAAATGCCAGGAAGCACGGTGCCCATGTCATAGGCCTAGTGAATTTCATCCTTCCACTTGAAGGAGAAGTTTGGCATGTGAAGAGTGGAGAAGGAATGTTTATTTTAGTCTGGCAGGTGGAAGTGTGCAGTGGTCAGGAAGCCTGTGACAGTTCCACTTTGAGGCAAAGATTCAGTTTCTAGATCAGTTACTCCTAAATGGAGCTATTCATGATTAAAGTGTATATCCCGGGAAGAGAGGGCAGATAGCCTTTCTGGGTGACCAAGGAAAGTGATTTTCTAGGAAGGGTTGCCAAGGCCCAGGGGAGAAGGAGTCCAGCTCTGCTGGTGATGTGGAAGGAGCTTTGTCAAAGCCAGTAGACTACATGTGTATAAAAGGCAGCATGAGAACTGATTCACAAGAGGAGCAATTGATTGTTATATTTACTGTCTTCATACATTTTTACAGTTTAACTTATCTTGAAATATAACCAGGCAATAAGACTTAAAGTATTGGGGGTTTTACATATTTTCCACTTAGCTGTATTTGCGCTCTAGCCTGGACTCTGGAAATATCTTCAGGAGCACCCAGTGTGATTAAAAGCCTCATTATCATTCTCATCACCACCTACTAAAAAGCAACCAAAGTCTGTGCTTTGAAAAGAAGTCTCTAACTAGAGTTTACCTGTGTTTTTCCAGGTAGCCCAGCCATGACTCATAGGAATCTGACATCCTCCAGTCTAAATGATATTTCTGATAAACCGGAGAAGGACCAGGTAAGCAGGAACCTTGCCTCTTTGAAAATTAAGACTGACCATGTATCTAATACATTCTGGGATGGATTAGAGATGGTGCTTGTCTCCACTCAAATGGACCATTATGTACAAATTGGAGCTTGCATGTCCTGTAAGGAAGGAAGCAGGATGTGTGTGTGTGGGGGAGGGGTTGTCAGATGAGAAGCAGTTAAATCTTGGCCGCACAGTTTGTGATGTGCTCACCTGGGCTACTTTAGCCTTGGGGCTATAGTTGGCTCAGCTTGAAGATATTAATAACCTCTGCCTTCAGTTTGTTACAGGGATTAAATGGGACAGCTTATCAAAATGAGTTTTGATACATTATAAAAGGCTATGAGCTGCTGATAATTGTTCATTTGTGGGCAGATACACCAGGCGAAGGTAATAGCGCTAGCTGTCTCACTAGCTATAGATTTGTATAAGGAAACAGTAGTAAGTGCCAGTTTGTAGTGAAGACAAGTGAGATTTTGAGTCTTTGCTTTTTTTTTTCTTTTTGAAAAGAATGTTGCATAAACTGGGTCATTTTCTCAGTTGGCTGAATAGATTATATTTCAAGAACACAGTATATTGATATTTGTTAAAGGATATTTCCTGATGAAAAACTCAAGGCCAGTTTGTAATGCACTTGATGTGCAAGCAAGAAGACTTGAGTCCTATCCCCAACACCCTAATGAAAAAACAAAAACAAACAGGTTCTGCAGAGCACACACAGAGCAGTGAGGAGGTGGACGGGGAGAATCCCAGAGCTTGCTGGCCAGCGGGTCTAGCCAAATTTTCAAGCTTCAAGTTCAGTGAGAGACCACCCTGCCTCAGAGAAATAAGGTGAAGAACAATTGAAGAAGACATTCAGTCTGGTCTACGCACACACACACGCACACGCACACATGCACACACATATACACATGTGCATCCACTCCCCACAAATACACAGCTTTCCTCTTTGTTAAATGCAAACAATAATACTTTACTTTTTACCTCAGAAAGTCAAGGATCTGATTTTTGTTCTTATGACTTATATTTGTGTCCTCTGATAGAAGAGCGTGATTCTCGTTCTTTCATGCTTGACATGCTAATTGCACATCGTTCCTGTGACCTTATTCTTTCTTTCTCATTTTTAAATAGGTGGCTTTGACAATTTTTTTTCACACTTTGCTATTTTTATCCTAAAAAAAGTAATATTTATGCCAGTGTTCTTTTTTAACTGGCAGTACTTGTAGTAATGACAGCAGTTTATAGGTCTTCGTGAATTCTAAAAAGTACAGGAGAGGTGAAATTACACCCATTCTTGTGAAATGGCTCTTGGATTCTTTCTGTCTTCTCCTCGTCAGTACCACCTTAACAGGTCTTCGTTTGCTCAACTGCCGCTTGCTAGAAAAGCTTTGGAAGTACTCTCTTGTCCCCATTTTCTCTCAGTTCAATATGGTTTTTGTATCATTACCTTCATTTTTCTGTTGTGGATTAGAAACTTACATGGGCTTCCTATCAAGTTGTTTGACTTTTCCCCTATAATTTTTAAGGTCCCATCAAGTCTGGTGTTATCTCTTCATTTGTTTGTGCTCTCTGGAAGAGGACTTTTTTGATGAGGACTCATTACTGTCCTCAGCTTTACCTTGACATCCCCTCTTGACTCATTGAGCTGCTTCTCCTTCAATGTGCCTCCTTCAAACACTGATGTGCTTAGTTCATTCACCTTCATTAGGACACCTCTGGGCATGACCAGGGAGCGGAGCACTTACATGTAAATATGTTGGTAGGTACATACCTGTAGCAGAAGGAGGAGAACTTGGACCATTAGAATTTCCTTCCAAGCCATTTTGCTCGCTTTGGCTCCATTCAACTCTTACTAAACAATGCTAATTATCATGTCCTCTGCCAGGGTCCTGAAGTGTTGGATAAGGAGTGGTGGTTAGGATTCGACTTCTCTGATTGATATACTTTTGAATACGTCTTCTTTTATTAGGAACAGCCCTCCTCTAGCCAGGAATTTGTGAACAGGCAGCTGGTAAAGCTGGCTAAGAGAAATTTCTTATTTTGTTGGGTCTCTTCAGATCTGGGCATATGTAGAGGAAGTTTCATGGTTTACAATGCAAATGACATAAAATTTTGCTTTAGGGATCAGAAGAAATATGTTGAAATATCATGGGCTTTGGTTGTTGATTTTGCTATAAGATGTGTGTGGTTAGAGTTCTTGCCATTAGAATCTTCTTTGTCTCCCAGAAGCATCTTACAGTCACCAAGGTTGATGTTAAGATGAAGACAGAAGACTCAGCTCAGGGATTTTGTTCTTTTTATTTTCCAAGCCAGTAAATAAAAGTTGATGGATACATCATAAAAGAAATTACTCATCTAAATTTTACCTATCACAGTTAATCCAATGAGGTCTTTCTCTCAAGAAGAGGGAGAAACCCTGTTCTTTGCTTCCTATCAAGGACTTGGAAGAAGAGTTCTATAACTGACCCACAGTTTTGTCTACCATCAAAAGTAGAGGAAAATTCAGCTAATGTTTATAGCAAACTTCAAATTCAGAAGTTCTTGGAGCATTTTAGGACAAGAGAAAGAAAATGGACTTACAAATAGATGAAGATATGGTAACTACAGGTTTTATTTTATTTTTTTAAATTTGTTTTAATACCATAAACCTGGGATTTTCTTTTTTTAACCTTTTTTTCCCCTGAGGGGGGAAAATGGTTGCCAGGCTAAAATTTGTTTTGAAGAAGCTTTTATAATTAATTAGCCAATGTCCTGGAAGTGAATTTGGCAGTTAAGTCAAACTTGTCCTGTATGCTTGTCCAAGTTGGCCCCAAAAACTTCCATCCAACTGCAAGTGAAGTTCCTGATTGACTGATTATTCTGCCTGGATACAATTTGAACAGTTGTCACTGTGCCTCATAACTTCCTGGAGCTATATAACTTCCTAGCACGTAAGAGATGCGTTCAATGTTCAGAGTTAAGAAGAGGAACAGAATGGCTCTTCCTGACAGCTACCAAGTGACAAATTTGAGGGCATATTTTTGATGAGATTCTGTTTTGGGAAAACAGAAGAAACAAATCTGTGGACTGCACTTTTTCTTCCTCGCTCTGCCAAGCCCATGCACTTAGGATTTCAGTAGCGCCTGCCTGATTGAAAAATAGCTGAAAATAGTTAATAGTGGCAAAAGAGCATAGCCAAAATCGAGGTGATTCAGTGCTCTGACAGTATTCCAACTTGGATGTTGTACTTATTAAGCAGAAAGCCACCTGTGAGGGAGTAGATGAAATAATGCATCTGGAGCTCATCTAGTTGTGCATCTACATAAATAATCTGTTGTTTTGTTGTATGGAATGCCCTTTTGCATTATCCAGTTATTTTCCCCAACTACCTTTTATTTGCTTCCTGTCTTTCTTTGTTCCTTTTCTGTCCTTTGAAAAATGGATATACGAGAGGTATGCAAATTCATGGATTTAATTCCAGATTCCATGTGAATATAGAAGCAGGTGAGAGTTGATAAGTCGGGTGATTGCTCTTTTCCTTACCAGGGATCAAGTCTAGGGCTTCATGAATATTCTTCAAGTCCTCAACCACTGAACTACATCTCCAGCCCTAAGAAAGCTATTCTAACCATTTTACTCGTTGGGGTAAACTCTCACAGAAGTACTGTGTTATGCTTAGCAGTACAATAACTTTGAAGAGGGCTGACTCTTACAAGATTATCAATAATGCAGTTATTATTTCACACTCAACGTTAGGTGCAACTGTAGCCTATAGAGTGCAGTGTATGTTGTAGAGGTAGAAGCACCTTGCAGATCCTCAAGGATACCTGTAAGGCTTACATGACTTGTATCTTCTTATCTGATTCATTGTTTAAGCTTACCAGATAATTTATTTCATAGATCTCCTAGTGAAATTTGGCCTACAATTAATTTTTAAAGTGTATTATGATCATTTCAAGCAGCATCTGCTGTCTATTATCTTTAAATATGCTTGAATGCCATAATTTTTATTTTTGAAGTCTTGATTATTTACAGAAATAAATCTGTAGTTAAATATTTTGTCAGAGTTAAGAGGATAAAACCATTATCCATGTATAAATTTGAAATTTCTAACCTTGACTGCTGTAAGATGAAATCTTGAAGGAAACAGTCAGTGATTGACTGACTGCTAATCCTTTTCTTGTATATACACAATACAGAATCAACTCAGCCTAGTTCAGGTGGGGTGACATTTCATGGCTTCCAAGCTGAAGTTCCATCCCAGGGTCCTTGTATAGGTTCCTTTAGCATTAATGGGTATTTCATATTCACAGATGGAAAGGGATCATCCCTCTGAGAGTCACACTGGCCAAGAAAGGCTCATATTTTCTGAGGTTATAAACTTGTCTCTCACCTGTTCTTGAGGACCATTATAACACCCTTATGTCAGCATAACTCCAAACAGAATTACATTTGTGAAAACCTGAGAACAAAGGCGTGCTGTCAGTCCTTAGTCACTACAGTTAGGGTAACAGCCATGAGCTTCCCCCTGGTTCGATGGCCACAGGTTTCCATCAACTGTGTGCTTTTGAAGGGAACTTGGATGGCTACGTAATGCTTATCCTCAGGCCCCTTTCGAATAGGATCAGCTTGCACTTAGACTGTGCAATTAATAGTGCTGAAGTCTGCCATCACCCTTTTTCTTTCCACTAGAAATTTTATTTACTGTCACTTATTTTATGTGTACTAGTGTATTGCCTGCATGTATGTGAGTACACCCATGTCGTGCAGTGCCACGGAGGTCAGAAGAGGGCTTCTGATTCCCCTGGAACTGGAGTTAAGGATGGTTCACAGCCGCCATGTGGGTGCTGGAAATCGAACCTGGGTCCTCTGCAAGAGCATTCAGTGCTTTTAACTGCTGAGCCATCTCTCCAGCCCCTCTCCAAGGTTTTGAATGCTTTCAGAACTGGTGGTGGTTCGTGGTAAAGAACTGATGTTAATACTGATTTCAAGTATTAAAAAACTATTGTGAT